TTGTTTATAATAGAATGTTTGACTATAGTTACAATTACTTTTAATTAAAAATTTTAACAATGTTCTTGTATACTTCGTTTTTGATGGTTTTTATAGGATAATCTCACGTTTGTAAGTATATAATAAGCTTTTATAACTTATTATTCTAAGCATTTTTGTCATTTCTTATAGATGTCTTGAGAAAGGAAATAAACATTTCCGAAAGCTTGACAACAACACAGAGTGTTCTTATTACATTAGCCCTTAGCACTATTGACTGCAATCCCAAATACATCACTGGTTTATATATATATATTGTATCTACATCTTTTTACATCTACACTTTGTACTTACAATTAACAGCTTAAACAGACCAAAGCAAACTACCATAACACTACAGCCGACTTGACAGAATTCTCCAATTGAATATGTATCTCGTACTAATTCGGAACAACTGAAAATGAAATCGTAGAATGTATATATAGCAAGAGGATCTTCTAAAATATGAAGCAGATATAAGGAACGTATTCACTGCAAAGTTAAAGCTACCTACATGCAGGATGGTTCATAATTCATTAAAAAAATGGGATGTATAACTAATCCATACTGACAAAGTATAAAAAATTCACTTCGAAAATTACTTAATTAGTAAATGCTTGTACTGGTACATTCTGTACAATACACTATAGGAACACATTTTAGCCTTGTGTAATATGTGTCACATTGTTGATATTGATACTCCAAGTACTCGTTGAATGGTTTGCCTTCTCCCACAATAATTAAATACCGTTCCTAGACTACTAAAATTTGATGTGGACTTCAGCGACCTAAATCTCTTCTACTATTCGGTACCAAATTTCCAATTTTGCTCTCCTCTTGAACTAACGCGGTAAAGGCAGGAGCATTTGGCACATGCCTACCAAAAGCGTTCTGCATACAAGGGAGGCTTGTAATCATTTTCTCTTGCTTTCCATAAATTAAAAGAATATTTTCATTAATCGTGTTTTGCTTGCTGTACGTATAAACAATCTTGAAGACTCATGTAAATAATAAACCGCGATAATAAGAGCACAATGAAGATCTTAATAATGCTGAATAAATAAACATTGTGAATTAAAATTGTCTGGAACTACCTGGACACTACAATCGTTGATTCTGTTTTTAGTGACACATATAGGTATTTCCAAAGCTTTTTGGATAAATCGTGATTCGCATTGTATAATCATGGAAGCGCAACTTACAATGTGAAGAATAAGAGTAACACTGAGAATTGGACTCCAAATCGATGGATAGGTCGTGGTGGTCCCATTACTTGGCCAGCGCGATCCCCGGATCTCAACCCGTTAAACTTTTTTCATGTGGGGACATGTGAGGACATTTACCTATTCAATGGGAAAGCCTAATTGCAAGGACCGGACCAACTTATTGAGAAGATTCATACAGCGATTGATGAGGTTTACAGATATAAAAAAGGAAAATGTAAATTAAGTAATAGTGTTGATAAGTTTCGAAAATAAAATATATAAAAGTATGACAAATAACAAATTTTTAATATTGCACTTTTTCTCTAAAATGAATTCTTGAGGATTTATAGGAATTTTATAATGCCTAAAACTGTTTAAAAATGGAACTCCACAAGGAGGCATTTTAGAGAAAACAGTGCAGGAATAAAAAGTTTTTATTTTGACCCTATTAACATGTACTTTAACTTAAAAAATTAACAAAAAAATCGAGATTTTCACTGATTTTGAGTTATTTTTTTGAGGTTAGGGAAAAATCCTGACGTGAGGGAGCATTTCTGATGGCTCCATCATCTTCAGCGGATCAGAATACAGGGATGTATCATACTCTATTAAAAAGTGTATGAAAAAAATTTGTATGCTATTAGAAGTAAGGTATTTTAGAACTGTCAGTTAGAATCACCTTAAAATTAACAGTGAAAGTACCCATGTGTCGTGGTTATGAATTTGTCAGTTAAAAATTGGCAATCACTAATTACGTTATAATAATAATNCTCTATTAAAAAGTGTATGAAAAAAATTTGTATGCTATTAGAAGTAAGGTATTTTAGAACTGTCAGTTAGAATCACCTTAAAATTAACAGTGAAAGTACCCATGTGTCGTGGTTATGAATTTGTCAGTTAAAAATTGGCAATCACTAATTACGTTATAATTATTGCAAAAAAGAAGTATAAACAACGTTTTTTACAAAAGGAAAGTGTATCAACGAAGTTGATTTACAACACCTACAGTGACAGAGAGCAGATTAAAAACAAATAAATACAATAAACAGAGCATTAAAAAGTACAAGAATGAACACAAAACGCAATTAAATGCAATTGTTAAAACCTACGTTCATCAAAGAGTACCAAATCAGAAAAAAGTATATTATTTTTTAATATATGTTTAACGGTTGTCACTGACAAATTGTGATACTGGAGGGGTAAGTTATTAATAACATAGGGAGTTAAATACGGAAATGAATTTTAAAATTTTTCAGTTTTATAGGAAGAAATACACGCTTTGCTACTCAGTGATCTCAAATTTTTAGTATGTGTTTCAGATCTCCATTTTATTTTATCACATACATTATGTAGGTTTGTTACTCTTTAAAATGTTGAGTATAAAACTGGCAAAATGAGTAAGTCTCCTCTTAGACATGCTCAACAAATTGAAGGAGCGTAAATATGCAGCTATGTGACTAAATCGCAATAAAACGAACGCAACAATTCTCTATTTTTTGCAAACGGTGTTTATTTTCTTGAGAAAGGCAGGGGCCATATACAACATCAGCATAATTCAAATGAGATAAGACTAAAGATTCAGTAAGTAAAATTTTGGTCTGAGGATTTAGATACTTTTTAAAGCATTGCAACTGTTTTAATAATAATAAAGCTTTCTTACAGATAACGGTTACATGATTCGAAAAAGTTAACGATGAATCAAAAGTCAGGCCAAGATTTTTAACAACAGTGGCTGTAGGAATATTTTCATTGTTAATTAAAACAGTAAAGTTATCCAGGCCTCGCAATTGAGTTGATGTTCCAAATAGAATGTTTTGGCTTTTATTAGGATTAACTATTTTATGGTCCAGTCATGGATTAATTGTAACTCATTATTAATAACTGCTGTGGCAATATTTAAATTAGAAGGCTTAAAACTATAAAGGAGTTGTAAATCGTCAGCGTACATATTTAATTTACAATTCAAAGGAATTCTCATGTTAAACAAAGGTGGTTACATTAGCCAATAATGTTGAAGAACTAATCCCCTTTTGAAATCCTGATCGATTTATAGGAATTATTGAATTTTACACAACACAATATTCAAACAATTGATTAAAAATAGCTGATTCAGCAATCTTGAGAGGAACAGAGAGCATACTGATTGGACGCAGATCTTTCAACTGTTTTGGATTTTTCTTTTTTGGTAATGGCCTAATACAAGCAACTTTCCATTGTTCCGGTAACTGACCAAACTCTAATGAAAAATTTATTATGTGTGTAAGTGGCGCCGATACCCATTTAACCGACGACTGAAGCATTTTACCAGAAATACCATCTGAACCCATTATATGAGATTTTTGTTTCATAATAAGATCTTGAATTTTATTAATATCTGAAGGTCTGTATGTAAAATATAAATTGCTCTTATATTTAGAATTATAAAGGTAAGAGATGTAATCTTGGTGTAGAGTAAATGAAATAATTATTAATGAGAGTAGCATTACAGATCTCGTCAGGAAGATTTTCATTTAGTCTATCACTTAGAACGCCCCACGATTTTAATTTTGACCATTGCCGTAATAATTACGAATGTCACAAAAAAATGTTCTATGTGTAGCATTTTTCCTTTTTTAAATCTTAGCCAAGCCTTATTTTTAAGTTTTCTAATTTCGCATAAGGTATCAGTAAACCATGGTTCTCTTCTTTTAGAAGATTTAAATGTACACTTCTTTAATGGAACATGTCTGTCGAAAAGGCTCATGATAGATTCATTGGAACATTTTACTTTTACCAATAAAAGAATTAGTATTATAAATTTGATTCCAATCTATACTGTCAGCATCACGGTTAAAACATTCCGAATTAAAATTACGGTAGCATCGATATCCCTTTACAACAGGTTTAGGCACGTTATCTTGTTTCAATATTAAAATTATTATCTTGTTGTTAGAAAAATGACTGGAAAATTTTCATGTAGTGAACAAATTGATATGTTGTTAGTGTTGGGTTACTGCGAAGGAAATTGAGAAGTGTGGAATAAGAGGATATTTCCTAATTGCGTCGTTCCACATCAAGAAACATTTTGCAACATTGAAAGAAGGGCTCGAGAAACAGGAATGTTTTCGTCAAGAATAGAACAATTTAAACAGAGTTCAAGATGACAAATTTATTTTGCGGAGAATGAAGTATAAAACTGTCAGTTTTTTGTTAAACAAGACATTAACTTTCTCAAAAAATTCTGCTCATAGATGAAACTTGTTTCACCCGCCATAGAAACTACTAATCTTCATAATTCCAACCAATAACTCCTTGACATTTTCATCGTGAGTTTAAAATATACGTTTGGTGGTGTATTATTGATAGATTAATTAGCCCTGTAAAATCAATTCGCTTAAATGGCGAAAGTTGTTTGGAATTCCTTCAAAAGACTTCCACTTTATTGCAAAAGGCTCTACCACTGGATCTCAGTTTGCAATTTTGGTTTAGGCATAATAGAGCACAATCTTATTTTAGTATTATTGTGAGAGATTTTGTAAATACGCAGTTTCCAAATAAAAAGATAAGGCGGAGAAATAATTGCCTCCATAATTCCACAACGCGATCATCGGACCTAAACAAATGTGATCATTTCCTTTGGGGAACGGAATTGGAAGACGGCTTTGTGGTTCCGATTGGAAACTTTGAGACTTGGAATATTACAGCAATATCTATTTTACAGTACATAATGCAATGGAATAAATCTATTTTTTGAACTAAAATTTATTACACGTTTAAGAAAATACTTGCAAATAACTTAAACAAACCTGTATATATAGTTGTGATGAATAATATATTTTCTTAACTTTCGTAGCCTCAGTTTGTCGTCTATTGCTTCATCTCCAGTAAAACTAGTTCCAATGCGTATTAACCTCTTCTTGAGTATTTCAAATTGCGTCGCGCAGAGGTCCATCATCAATATATTCAAAGTGTCCATCGTGATATCAAACCAAGTAGAACTTAAAAGCAAAGTCATTTCAAAAAAATACACTGGAATGTAGTAGTCCTTTGGATCAAAGGGAAACCAAAGCAAAAACAAGAAATTTTTAGAACCATAGTCTCCAAGCAATGGATACACAGCGTGAACTGAAGCAGCTGTGGCTGACTTTGCTTTAAAAATATTTGTGAAGAGTCTAGAGTATCTGAAGTTACGTTTCAATATATTTTCTTCTTCTTCTGTCTCGAGTTTGGTAAGTATTGGATTCTGCAACATATCTTCCAGTTTGATTAGATTCTTTCTGTAGAAAAACAAATTCAGTATCTTGCCCAAGTACGCCAGTATCGTCATAAGGAACGTAACGGTTTCAGAAAGTTCAGTTATATTGGTTAAATTCAGAAAGCTGTGTATGCAAGCAAGAATAATATATAATATTGTAATACTCAGAAAATAAGTTGCTGATATCGTGTGCAAGTGTTTGTATTTGTTTCCTCTTAGGGGGTAGAATCCTGCAATTTTCAATGCTACCATTTCTGTATTAAGAAACCCCAGAAGATCCGCATGCTGCAAAGTGAGACAAAAAAAAATAAAAAGTATGTATTATTAAATATATGTTTAATTTTAGAAAACTACTTTGCACTTAGGTACATTTTTGTCTCTATTTATTTGGGTATTTTGCCAGCTGTGAGAAAAATTAATGATAGAATTGGCCAAGGGATATTTTTATGAAAATATTTTGTCCAACAAATAATCTCACATTGAAACAAAACCAAATGAAATAAAACTTATTTTCGTTTGCGGAACTGAGAACGTTTCGTTTTTAATTTGTTTTGACAGCTTCAATTTGTTTTTCATTTCTTTTCAATATAATGATAATTGTTTTAACAAAGTTACCGCGGTAGATTAGTCTGTCGAGCATGCGGTAGCAAGCGTTTCTCGGCCAGATTTCCTATTCTGGTCCGGGTTCGATCCCTGGCGTCGGCGCTGGCAATGTCGATGGATAATGGGTTTTTGTCGGCGTTTTTTCAAGTATAGCCCCCTCTTCCTCTTCGTCTTGGAGGTTGTCTCATTTCTGTGGTGTGTTTTATGTTTTTTTTTAAATGTGGTACAAATACATGTCGTTGAAAAAAAGTCCATAAAATATTAGTTGTTCTAATGTTAAATTTGTTAACTATTCTCCTTAATTTCCAATAATAAAAAATACATTATATTAATTAGTATTTTTTTTTATGAATTTGGATTATTAAATGTTATGAATTTATTATTAAAAATTTCATAATTTGTAGAAAGCAATTTGGCCGCAACTGCTATAATACTAGGGAAAATTATCTTTTTTCGAAATTTCGCTTATACAGAGTGATTCAGTCATAATGTCATTAATTTTAATCACGTATTCGGAAGACTTAATAAAGACAGAAAATCGGAAAAAAAAATGTTTACTCGACTTTTAAAAATGAAGGAAATCAACCCATAACTCCCACTAAGAAGGCGGCCCTGCCAGATGCCCGGATGCTCGGAAAATTTTGTAACGTAATGTCACGAACAAATCGTCAGCTGAAGCGAACAGCGTTGCCAAGTTCACATCATAATCTGTGGTTCACATTTAATTAATCCGCTTTAGTATACGGATACATATGTACGAAACCAATAAAATGCAAGTAAATAAAGGATCATGCTGCATTTTATTATAACTAATTTTAATAATTGTATTAACTTAGTGCAAAATGTTTTAACAAGCCTGACTTCTCGAAGTCAACTTTCGTTAAAAGAAAATAAATAAAGCAGAGGTTTGTAGGCACACTGTATTTTATCAAATAAAAAAAGTCGGCACACTAAATACCCGAATATACAAAATACACTACACACGGTTACAAAACCATTACCTAACAATTTAAAGCGTTTATTCAAATCTACCACCCTCCATATCTCCCGCATTTTTCCCGCAAAGGAGTTAACATAACACATTTTCAAAAAGTTCAAGCTTTAGAAGCAGCTGATTTCCCCAATCGTCTTGAATTTTGCAATTGGTTCCTAAGTGCAGCAGAACTTTATTAACAAAGTGCTCTGGACGGATGAATGCTGTTTTACTCGTGCTGGCATTTTAAACAGGTAAAAAACATAAGTATTGCTTTCTCAAAAACAATAAGTGCCTACCTAGGTTACACCAAAGTTTAGATTTACACTAAAGTTTACATTTATTATGTAAACTTTGGTTATACGCAACTGCATATTGAATAATAAATTGAAATACTAAAACTGTGTATTATTTAACATAATAAATTATAAAACGTGAAAACGTTAATAATATTAAAAATGATAAATTGTAATAACCGTACATTCGAAAACAATCATCCCTATTCATTACATTCAATTTGATGACACGATTTTCCTTTGATAAAAGACCGACAACTTTTTGCTCTACTTTGCATGGAATACGATCCTACTACAGTTCGTATTAGTCTAGGAGCCAGATCAGGTTCCGTGTACTAGCTATAAAAATAAACTTTTTACAGCCATTTAAACATTTAATTTGTTGATAACAATTAAACTGACCACTTTCAGGCTTTGCGACCAAGTTTTTTGGATTCAGGAGGTCAAAATACTTTAGAATAAGTTGTTTGCAGCCGTGGCACTCTGGTTGGCAACGGAACTCTGTCTGGCTCCTAGACTAAAGTACACGTGCAAATTAGAAGGTTATTGACCTCGACACAGGTTAGCCTAGGTCGGAAACACGTACCGAGTTGTTTATTTGTCTCCGTCCGATTGTATTTTTATCTTCTATTACTTACAGTCAATATTTAAATACTACATACATTTCACCCTCTCTTTATAATTTATCTAGTGAGTGTTGGTTTTTTATGTCATTATTTCTGTAATGAAATTGAAATGGTTATGAAATGAAATTTAAATTATTTGAACTCTTGGGGTTTTGTAACTTCAATATTAAATTTTATTTAAAGTGAAACAGAGCTAATTTCTTTGCAGCCATAATAGTCACATTTGGTCAGATGAAAACCCGCACACTACTCGTCGGTTTAGCTTTCAGAGGAGATTCGGTGTCAATGTATGGGCAGGAGTATATGGCGATCGTTTAATTGGGCCGCATTTTCTACCTGTACATCTGAATGGGCCGCGTTACTTTCAATTTTTAGTAGAAGGCTTACAGGAAATTAAAAAATTATCACTATGATGTTAATAAAAAATTATTTTTGGCAAGTCATGCCAAAACCTCGAGGTTCGAGGTTCTTGCTGGGCAACAATAACAATTTAATATGTTGATTGCATAATTATAAAAAAATAATTTATAGCATTTTAAATTATTATCGGCTGACGTGAGCAAATCGTTTATTTATTGTCTTTATATGTGCGAAAATATATAACTATGGCAACATTGCATCTAGGTCGCTTTGTTCATATCGTAGCCGGCTGACGACAGCCGGTCAGTAACAGCCTGAAAAGGGGGTTAAATAATGATTTGAAAAAATTNACATACATTTCACCCTCTCTTTATAATTTATCTAGTGAGTGTTGGTTTTTTATGTCATTATTTCTGTAATGAAATTGAAATGGTTATGAAATGAAATTTAAATTATTTGAACTCTTGGGGTTTTGTAATTTCAATATTAAATTTTATTTAAAGTGAAACAGAGCTAATTTCTTTGCAGCCATAATAGTCACATTTGGTCAGATGAAAACCCGCACACTACTCGTCGGTTTAGCTTTCATAGGAGGTTGGGTGTCAATGTATGGACAGGAGTATATGGCGATCGTTTAATTGGGCCGCATTTTCTGCCTGTACATCTGAATGGGCCGCGTTACTTTCAATTTTTAGTAGAAGGCTTACAGCAAATTAAAAAATTATCACTATGATGTTAATAAAAAATTATTTTAAATAATGATTTGAAAAAATTTTTTTTCAGCTTAAATATGCATTTAATTTTTTTTTAATCACGCCATAAATAAATGCAACGGTATAGGGTTTTTTGGCTTGATAAACCGTTTGTTAAGGAAAACAAATACACAAACCGGAAGTCGATATCTTTTTTTGTTTTCAAGTTACTACTAAAATAGTGAAGTTGTGCTAGAACATCCTCCTTTATTTAGTTGTCTAAAAAACATTGACATAGTCCAAGCCGTATTTTTAATTTAGGTTATATAGGTAAGCAAAATTTCGAAAAAACGACAATTCTCTGTAATACTACAGCAGTTGCACCCCCTAGCGATGAAGTTACAAACTTGAAAATATTTTAAATCAAATTCTTTGGCCGTATTCGTTAATACATCTTTTACCCCATAATCGTCCCACACAGCACATGACGTCCCTGGGATATCCTCATTTAGTCCTATATATATCCTAATCGGGGATCTGAGTCCTCAGGATATCCTCATGATATTTAAATAAGACAAGTAGATCCTATCAACATCCTAGTTGGGGATATCCTAGGTAAATCCAGACAGGATGTCCTGGAAAATATTCTATGAAGATATTAAAAGCCGAACAATCTCCAATTTTGGGATATCCTAGGCAAATTCTAGAGTGATCCCATCCTGGGATGGTTCTTGGCTTGGCACAGTGCATGGTGCATGACGTATGACCCGTATCTCGCCATTTTCTGCGTTTCTTTGTTTTATAAGTGCGTGACTCAATGACGTTTTTATTAATTTGAAAAGTGGAAAGTGAAATTTAAAGCTTGTTAAAATAGTTAAGTGACGTGCATCAACCACCTGCTGGTAGAAGTAAGTATTTAAACTACCTTTGGTTTTAAGGTATTAATATCATAGAATGTATTAACTAATTTTGTTCTTACTGTTTGTATCATGCAATAATTATATAATGCCTAAAGAACGCATTAAAAAAACATGTTTTCAAATATTTTTTATATAGAGCCTAATACCATTCAAAAATTAGTATAGTTTTTATCACCATTTGTAATAGATATGTGTATATGTGGTATCAACAAATCTACATAATATGTTCAAATCTATAATTTTTAGTTCTGAATGTGTTGAATATAGGTGTTTTGACAAAGGATTGTAACCCATAAATGTAATTAATTTATTATAGTTCTCTGTCTGTAATATTTGTACCAACATTGTGAGTTATAAGGATTACATATTATAAATCGTAGGCAGAATTACGTATTATCTATTAGAATAGCTTAAATTTGATATCAACAGATTATAATGCGTAGGTCATGAAATTAGAATAGTTTTGTTAAATGTATTTAATGAAAATTTTTGTTTTGTCACTTGTCTACAATGTAAATGTATTATTAACATACCTTTTCTACAAATTTATAGCTGGAATTTCACAAGGACATTACACAAAAAATTGCCCAGAAAAAGATAATGGAGAGAGCATTAAAACATGCCACGGCATGCAAATGAGAGACTATAAAAATCACATAAGGAATAGTTATACATATAATACAAATAATAACTTAGTGGTGTAATAACTTTGTTTATATTCTGTAATAAAAAAGTTGGTTATATGTATCATAGAAAGAGTTGATTANTTATTAATTTGAAAAGTGGAAAGTGAAATTTAAAGCTTGTTAAAATAG